GCTGAGCGGAGAGTAGAAAGGGGAGTGGTCGAGAGGAGAGGAGCTGCTGCTGGGCGCTGTGGTCCTGGAGGCTGCGTGTTTGCAGCTGCTGACTCTGTTGCTGCTACTGCTGGTGCTGCTGAGGGGGAGAAGGAAGAGGAGGTGCTGGAGCTTATTCCTGCGAGGAGCTGCTGCTGGTTGGAAAGAGAAGAAGAGGTGTTGCTGAGTTTTGCTGTTGCTGCTTATCCCGCCAAACAATGGCTGAACCAACTGGTCTTGCCGAGGCTTTGGAGAAGCTCGCTAAGATCCTCGCGGAGTCCAACTCTGGGGCCATCGTTCCTCGACAGGAAGTGGCTCAAAAGCTTGAAATGTCGCCCCTGGACATGAAGCTAGAGGGGGCAACAAATTATTTGAGCTGGTCCAGAAGGGCTTTGTGGGCTGTGGAGCAGAAGGAGCTTGATGGATATTTGTTGGGCACCGTTGTAGAACCAAGGGACACGAGTAGTGCAGAGGGCAAGAGGTGGAAGGTCATCCACTCTGTACTTATGGTGTGGTTGTTGAACTCCGTGGTGCCCTCCATTGGACGCTCTGTGGAGGGGCTATCCTCACCTGCTGAGATATGGAAGATTCTGTCCACTCAATACTCTGGCAAGGGCAATGTCATGCTCATTGCTCAGATTGAGGACAAGATTAGGTTGCTGCGTCAAGATGATGGCATGTCAGTGATGACATACGTGGCAGAACTGCAGGCTCTGTGGGCTGACCAGGATAACTGTGATCCCTTGGAACTCTATGATGCGGCTTCAATCGAGTCAGGGCATAAGTGGATGGCACGCAGGCGTGTGCTGAAATTTTTGGCTGGCCTCAAAGGTTGCTTTGATGGCAGGAAGGCTTCCCTGTTGCACCAACCTAGTCTGCCTACCATTCCTGAGGCTATTGCAGCGATGACTCAAGAGGAGGTGCGCCTATCCCTTGAGCATGCAAACATGAAGGTTGTGCCAGCTTCGACATTTGCAGTCACTGAGCGCATGGAGTGGGGAGATCCCACCAAATGTCATATCTGTGGGGAGGTAGGTCACTGGAAGAGAGAATGTCCAACTCGTGGCAGAGGCAGGGGATATAACAGAGGGGGAGCAGGCAGAGGTAGAAGTGCTAGAGGCAGAGGTGGATACTCAGAGACCTCATGGAGCCAGGCTTCTAGAGGTAGAGGTGGCTACTCAGGACACTCAGGGGGTCAGAGGGCTCACATGGCCGTTGCAGGAGACACTGGGACGTCCAAAGGCAAAGATGTAGATGATGTTGCCTATGGAGACTTTGCTCACTGGGCCTCCACTGATGAAGGTAATCCGGAAAGAGCATCTCTTGCTACTAATGAGAGGGCTCCAGAGTGGGTTCTTGACTCTGGAGCATCTAAGCATGTTGCTAGTAACTCATGTGTGTTCGAATCTTACACTAAGCATCCTCCCTCTCACACGGGCACTATACAAACGGCTGATGGCACAAAACAACCAGTCATAGGGGTTGGTACAGTAAAGTGTACTCCGACCATTTCCCTATCGTCAGTTTTACATGTGCCAGCCTTTCCTGTCAATTTGGTCTCTTTCAGTGCACTCATTGATCAAATGGACTGTCGTGTGATCCTTGACAAGTTCGGTTGCTTGATTCAGGAGCGACAGACGAGCCAGACGGTTGGGACTGGCACCAGGCGTAGGGGGCTCTGGTACATGGACCAGGAGGTGCAGCCGGACTTGGTGTGTGCTGCGACCATGGAGGATAAGGAGAAGCAGGCGATGATCCATCATTGTAGGATGGGGCATGTATCTTTTGATAAGATGAGTAGAATATTTCCGGATGTTATGTGTGGAATAGGCAAAGGCAAGCTGACATGTGATGCTTGTGAATATGCAAAACACACACGGGCCTCATATGTGAGTAAGGGGCTCAGGAGCATATCTCCTTTTATGCTTATTCATTCGGATGTATGGACTAGCCCAGTGGTGTCAATGAATGGGAAGAAGTATTTTGCTACCTTTATTGACTGCTATTCTCGCATGACTTGGATTTACTTGATGCGTCACAAGGATGAGGTGTTTAGCTGTTTTCAGAACTTCCATGCTCTTGTAAAGAACCAGTTTCAGGTACAGGTCAAGGTGCTCAGGACGGACAATGGAACGGAGTATGTGAACAACATTTTTGGGGCTTTCATGGCTGACCATGGGATTCTTCATCAAACTTCATGTCCGGACACCCCCCCTCAGAATGGAGTGGCCGAACGGAAGAATCGTCATGTTCTTGAGGTTGCTCGGTCGTTGATGTTTACCATGAATGTGCCTAAGTTCTTGTGGGATGATGCAGTTATGACAGCCACATACTTGATCAACCGAACACCTTCCAGGATACTTGGCATGAAATCTCCGTCTGAGTTGATCATTGGAGATAATAAGTTTGTTGTTCCCCCAAAGTTGTTTGGCAGTACCTGCTTTGTTCGTGATCACCGACCATCTGTTGGCAAGCTTGATCCTCGGGCAGTGAAGTGTGTCTTTCTGGGATATTCGTCTAGTCAGCAGGGGTATAAATGTTGGTGTCCCTCTGAAAAACGCAGGTTTGTAAGTATGGACGTTACATTCAGGGAGTCTGAGCCATTCTATGGTGAGCCGACTGATCTCAGTCTGTTGTTTGCAGAGCTTGACCACCTACACCCTGTGCATGATGGTCAAGAGGGGGAGAAGGATGTGTCTCATACTCACGGTGATCCTGTGGACATTAACACTGATAATGATGTGCAGGCTCAGGTTCAACCAATAGTGGGTACAATTCCCGTTAGTACCATCACTGATGATGATGTGCGGGCTCATGTCGAGCCAACTGTCGATACACTTAAGATTGGTGCTCTCCAGGTTCCTGTTCGGGATCGATGGCAGACGAATACCCTGGTGTACTCTCGGCGGCAACCACAAGTGCAGGGGGAGCAGCAAGGCAGGGAGGCAAGAGTGCAGGGGGAGCAGCAAGGCAGGGAGGCAAGAGTGCAGGGGGAGCAGCAAGGCAGTGAGGCAAGAGTGCAGGGGGAGCAGCAAGGCAGTGAGGCAAGCTCATCTGACACAGTGGAGCTGCCCATTGCGTTGCGAAAACCTACACGTGAAGCGGCAAGAAAGGGTGAGGTAGCAAGGAAGGCTCTGCCAAAGGATGATGCTTGTGATGACCTTGATATTGGCAATTTTGTGTCTTACAAGGCTTTGTCACCTTCATATAAGGCGTTTGTTGCCTCTTTGCAAACTGTGTCTATCCCTAGGGATTGGAAGGCTGCAAAGCAAGATCCAAAGTGGCGTGAATCGATGATAGAGGAGTTAGAAGCATTGAAAAAAAACAAGACATGGGTGCTAACCACATTGCCGGCAGGAAAGAAAGCAGTGAGTTGTAAGTGGATTTTTACTGTGAAGCAGAATCCTGAGGGCAAGGTGGAACGGTATAAGGCTAGATTGGTTGCCAGAGGATATAGTCAAACTTATGGAATTGACTATGATGAGACATTTGCTCCAGTTGCAAAGATGAACACGGTACGGGTATTGGTCTCGTGTGCTGCAAACTTTGGGTGGAAATTGCACCAGTTAGATGTCAAGAATGCCTTCTTACATGGTGACTTGAAAGAAGAGGTATACATGGAGATACCGCCAGGTTTTGGCACAGAACAGACTACGGGGAAGGTATGCAGGCTGAAGAAATCCTTGTATGGTCTGAAGCAATCGCCGAGGGCATGGTTTGATAGGTTCAGACGAGCTGTTTGGAATATGGGGTATGGCCAATGTAATGGTGACCACACGGTGTTTTATAGACACACTAATAAGAAGATCACCATTGTTGCAGTGTATGTTGATGATATCATCATCACTGGAGATGATGAGGAGGAAATAAAGAGAGTGAAGGGGTGTCTGAGCAAGGAGTTTGAGGTAAAAGACTTAGGAAATCTAAAGTACTTCCTTGGCATAGAAGTGGCCCGGACAGAGAAGGGAATATCTTTGTGCGAACGAAAATACACCTTGGATCTTTTGAGTGACATGGGCATGATGGGATGTCGTGCAGCCCCTACTCCAATTGAACAAAATCATCAAGTAACAGCACAATCAGGTGAGCTAGTGAATAAGGAAGATTATCAGAAGCTGGTTGGGAGGTTGTTGTACTTGTGTCATACTAGGCCTGACATTACGTATGCCGTGGGGGTGGTGAGCAGATACATGCATGAATCAAGGAGAGGGCATCTTGATATTGTTCACAGAATCCTGAGATACTTGAAGGGGACTCCGGGTAAAGGGTTGTGGTTTGCGAAGAGTGGACATCTTGAAGTGGATGGCTATAGTGACTCTGATTGGGCTAGCTGTCAAGATGATAGACGATCAACTTCAGGTTACTGTGTGTTTGTGGGAGGAAATTTGGTGTCATGGAGAAGCAAGAAACAGAATGTTGTGTCTAGATCAACAGCAGAAGCTGAATATAGAGCATTATCTCAAGGGTTGTGTGATATGCTCTGGGTGAAGCACCTACTATGCGAGTTGAAACTCTTGAGGAAGGGACCCTTAAGGGTGTGGTGTGACAATCAGTCAGCTATAGCCATTGCTAATAACCCAGTTCAACATGATAGGACGAAGCATGTGGAAATTGATCGCTTCTTCATTAAAGAGAAACTTGATGCTGGGATCATCAGCCTTACTCATGTCAGCTCTGGGCAGCAGTTTGCAGATTGCTTGACAAAGGGACTGGGAACAAAGGACTGTAACTTGGCGTGTGACAAGATGGGAGTGTTGAACCGGTATGGGCCCTAGCCCATCAAGATCTGTCTCTTGGGCCCAAGCCCATGAGAGGTGCTGACCTAGAAGAGGAGCCCCTCTTCCCCCTGCCCCTGGGAGAGCCGCCAGACACAAGAGGAACGACTCTGAGGTCACAAGACACCACCGGCCCTCCTCTCTGTAGGTACTCCCCCTCTCATCTCAACAGAATCAATAAACCTTCTCTCTGGACCCATATATTCACTATATCTTCGAGAGAGCCATGACAATGAAGTTGAGTGACTCAGAATACTCCACAATCCTCGTTTTTATGACTCTTGCAGCATCCTGCAATTGCATACAGCCAAGGAATAATAGGGTTCAGAAAATCACAAGTTTTTATATTTGTCACTGAATCTTCCTTCATAAGAGGTGATATAGCGGACCAGATTTTTCCAATCGAGTGTGCGTATTTACTACTCCCCATGTAAACTAATGTAAGACCTTTTAGGTCACTACTTTAGTGATCTAAAAGGTCTTATATTAGCTTACAGAGGGAGCAAAAAATTAGGCTCGGCTTTATCTTTTGCAGATTTTGTGTTGGGCTGGACTGCTTCCATTTTTTTCTTTTGCAAAATGGTTGTGCGGTCGTGAGACCGCCCTGACTACTTAATGGGCCTGCGCACGAAAGCGGCTAAGCAGCTACTGATATCTTACTATGAAAATACGAATTGACTAAGGCCGTGTTCGGATTCCCTCCGCTCCGCGGCTCCGCGCCGGAGCGGAGCGGCAATCCAGTTAATTTACGCCATAATTTGGGGAGTTGGTTAAACCCCGCTCCGCGCGCTCCGCTCCGCGAGGAGTGCCGAACGCGGCCTAAGCATTACGACATAATTTAGTGAAATGAAGAGCTACTAAGTAATACCGTCACAACCAAAACCCTTATGTTGGAAGTTATAAAAAGGCAACACTATCTTCCATACGCTGTTTACAGAATGAGAGATGCGGACAGCTGAACAATTTACCTGCAACAAGCTATCAGGAGAGGCGCGGTCATGATGTATCGGCTGCGGCTTTCCTCCATCAAGCTCATAAAGTTCACCTGGATGGAAAAGGGAAGGAAAAACAGAGTGAACAACAGATAAAGGGATGGTGACTTGTAACAAAATTCAATTATGATACTCTGGTAACGGATGGATATGTGTACAATGCATACCATCAACACACGTAAAACAAACGTAATGTTCAATTACCCCATCCTTGGCCTGCACAATAAAATATAGATATCTCAGAATGCAACCATTGATTAATTCATATTTAAACTGAGGATATATTACATAAACATATCTTCCATGAAAGTATTCAAATTATTGTGGTTGACAACTCTGTAATAACATGCTCCTTGTGGAAGTTGTGAACTAATGAACAATGTTCAATACCCATTCACAAATGAAATGACACATGAGCAACAACATTCACCCCAGATTGCAAGCTATTCAAACTGACAAACAAGAAACAACATGAAGGCAGAGAAGCAGGTAAACTGGCTAACAGTCAGGTCTCAAAATTCCGACAGGATCCAGTCACCGTGACCAGTTCCCAGTAAGAGAAGTTGATGTTAGCAGATAGTTACTGGAAGCAGCGTGACTCTCATAATATAACACTCCATCGCCAAACAGTACCGTCATATTATTTGATCATCCAGGGCAATTATCAGTATGCTAGACGTAACTAAAGAAATTTTACGGCAGTCCTGACCTCTGTATCACCACCAGCAGCAGCAACAGAATGAGCGTCCTCCATTTCTTGGTCCTCCTCAAGAAAAGCAGCACGCTGATGATATCAAGTACTTTATAATTAGTACAGCGTAGAAGTCAATCCATAATAATAGTCTTTAACAAGAAAAGAAGTATGCATACATGGACTGCTAACCTGGATAGGATCCATATCAGCAGTTTGTTTATAAAATCTATGAAAATAGGACCCATCAACTGCAAAGATAAAACTACTAATCAAATATTGTCACAAGTCAAAAAGAGTGAGCATGAAAGGCAAGATACTCAACATAATATTATTATTTTTTTGAAGTAGTCTTGGTAGTTGGAAGTTGGAACTAGGCAAATTAAACTCATAAGTCTGGATGACTCATATTTATGTGTGACCAAAAGCATGCATTAGTATTGCAATATATAGAAACAAAACAGAGTATGCACATTCAAGTTCTTGGGAGCTAGATATAATTGTGAACTCTGGATTCCGGAAATACATTATTCATGTGATAGCAGGTCAAGTACATGATTATCCATTATTACCTATTCTGTAAACTGTAGTGATAGATTATAACATTTCTCTACGGAAGGCATAGCAGGGATGAAGGAGTTCTTAAGGATCCTTGGTGAATTATTGGGTGGTCATACACTCATACTGATAGAATTGCATGAAACAGTGACTATGGTTGGACAGCCAAGATGAAATAAAATTTCACACAATAGTGTTTGTCTTGATGCACGTAGGCATAAATATTATGCATATCAATAGGAAGTTAAAACTTAAAACTGCTGTAAACACCTAGCTTGATTTCGGATACAGCATTCCCTATTGCATGAATAATACCAATTGTTCCGCAAGCATTGCCAACAGTCTGTTTTGTACTCCCCCCGTTCCGAATTACTTGTCGCAGGTATGGATGTATCTAGATGTATTTTAGTACTAGATACATCCATTTCTGCGACGAGTAATTTGGAACGGAGGGAGTAAAATATACTTTCTTGTTGGGCTCCTGCGTCATGAATTTTTCTGTATTATAAAGAAATAACCATATAGAAACTTGGGAGGGGGAGCCTTGGCACAGTGGTAAAGTTGTTGCCTTGTGACCATGAGGTCACGGGTTCGAGTCCTGGAAACAGCCTCTTGCAGAAATGTAGGGAAAGGCTGCGTACTATAGACCCAAAGTGGTCGGACCCTTCCCCGGACCCTGCGCAAACGGGAGCTACGTGCACTGGGCTGCCCTTTAACCATATAGAAACTTGGCATAGGTTCCTTAAAAATCTTTGCAACAAATTTTAATGTGCACCAAGCCACCAACATCTGCTTAAGTCAAGATCATAAACACATTATATTGTACTGTATCTCTGGCTATTTGGAAGCCATAAACCAATATTTATAGAACCCATGACATTATGAATATAGAAGAAAGAATAGATACCTAAGGGTGTGTTTGGTACATGGCACCAAGTGGAATGGAACGGGTCCGACCCGTGCTTGGGCCTCATTCTTGTGTTTGGTACACTACTAGAACCGGAACCCACTGGTTCCCAAAAAGGGAATATCCAGCCCAGATCCGGAACGCAGTCATTCCTCCAAATCGAAGGAACGACGCGGAACGCTCCCTCGCCCTCTCTCTCGTGCACAAACCGCATCGCCTCTGCCTCTCTGTACTGTGCCGCCGCCTGCTATTCTTCCTCGATCCGCGACGCCGGCTGCTCCTCTGCCGCGAACCGCGCTGCCGGCTGCCCATCTCCCGCGATCCGCGCTGCCTACTGCTCCTCTCCCTCGTCCCCTCCTCTCTCAACTGTGGCACGGTGGACGAACTGCTGCCTGGCGGCGGACGAGCAGATGCGGCCTGCGGGGCGGCGGGCGGCCTTCTCCAAGCAAGCGGCCATGCGAGTTGTTGGCCGCACAGCGACCAGCAGCAATCTGCGGCTACCAGTTGAGTCAAGCTCCGTCCAGCCACAACTGACCGGATGGATTCTTTGATTTAGCACTCCAGTCCGTCATGTTTGTTCTGAATTTGTTTGTTGCAAGGTAGAGTACCAACAATAGGTCAACTTCATCTCTCTAACGTGTGTTAGACTGTACAGTACATTTTTGGCAATATGTTTAGCTACCTTAACATGTGTTAACATGTAGTAGAAATCTATATGTGAGATGTCACCATTTCATCTCACTAACCAAACATCGAAATGGAACCATTCCATTCTACCTAATTGCCCATACCAAACACAGTGACGGAACCGACCCGTTCTACTGGAATGGAACCATTACATTCCATTCCACTTCGTCCCTGAACCAAACACACCCTAAGAAGCTGCTAACTATCGTGAATGGACACATTCATTATACTGAGTTGATTCACTAGTTGGAATTTGGGGAAACAAGTTCGATATGTCTGAGTGTTCAGCACAAAAATAAGTCAGCAGTAGAAATAAACTAACACAGTGGAACTTCTTGGTTAGCAAGCATGACACCATTCAATCGATTTAACCATTGAAGTGCATTTTTTTTAACTTGTTAAAAGGAGTATCCAAGGAAATACCCAATGACTAGGGGCGCCATGAAAATGGGTAAAGACCTACTGTTGGAAGTTTAAGCAGTTTAACATTCAATCAGTTTAAGCAGATAGCAGACACATCATGATCAGGTCCTGATGTCCTATGATTAGTTATGCTCAAGTATTATGGCAATATTTCGCCAAAGTTCAATTCTAGGAACAGTGTTGCACACAGAATTCCTAGAAGCAGGTGAACGAACCAAATTATTTACCAGGATTTAATGTGAAATCGAGTGATTTTGGTCAGGAAATTGTGCTGAGCATACTGACAGCCAAACTAACAATACAGATCAGTCTCACCTTGGTCTCCACCGTGGAGGTGGCCGAAGCATCGGATTCCTTCTTCCGATCCTGCTCACCAACACGCGGGTGGAAAACAAATCAGCTCCTCCTCACCATCCACCGGTACAAGCAACCCAAACAAAATCCCACAGCCAATTAGGCGCCAGGACTCACCTGCGGGTAGAGCAGGAGGACGGCGAGGACCGGCTGGGGCACCATGGCGACTTGGCGAGCATATCGTCGTCGAGCCCGTACACGTCGCAGAACCCCACGCCCTCCGGGACCCCCAGCCCCCACATGAACTGCAGCCGACCGTGGCGTAAGGGGACTGAGTGGGGAAGAGGAGAGGCCGAGGCGAACCCCTACCGGAAGTGGGGAGGAGGCGTGGGTACCTGGTTCATGACGTCGGGGTTGGCCTCCAGGGGGAACCACCGCTTCACCATGGCGGCCGACGTGCCGGGGAGGAGGGGATGGAGCGTAGTGGCGGCGGAGGCGGTTTAGCCAGGTCGTGTTTTCTCTTGTGCGGCGGGGTGCTCAATGAACAGAATTTGTGCATCCGTCTAAACTTCTAACAGTTCTGCACCCTACAGACTTTGTACTGAAACGGGTTCTCGAGCTGAGGAAATTCATACAGGCATACTCAGCTATTCCACGGTATACAGATGCTGCATCTCTTTTTTACTTTGTGATAATTCACTGCATCTAAACGAACGACCAATCACGCTGAAATACATTTAGCTACAATTATATTCCTCAAATTCAACAACCAGCAAGGAAACGAGGGGAACTGGTCAGTCAGAATGCCCGTTTCTCCAGTGATGGCGCACAACTCCGAAGACAGCCACTCTTCAGAGTGTTTCTGCAATGCAAAATCTGTAGCACGCAAAACATGTTCAGAAACAGAGACAGGCTATTCCCATCAGGACATGGAGATCAAACACATCTAGCTAATTTCGGCCAGTTCAGATGCAAGAAATTTGTAACAGCGGTGACTGACATAAACAGCACCGTAAGAATCACAACACCACACTGACCCAACAACACCAACAGTATGCAAACAACAAGCTCTGCCGCTAAGGCGCAAACTCTAAAAGAACTCAAAGTCAAGGTACTTCCCGCCGGACTTGGCGTCCGCGCCGACCACCCTCTTGTTGGTGCTCGCGACCGCCTCCGACACCCCGTACTTCACCGGCAGCTCGGCCTCGACGGGCCTTGGGACCTCGGGGGGCGTGCTGCATCGGATCAGGGCCCAGTTCACGCCCTCGAAGAAGGGGTGCTGCTTGATCTCCGTCGCGCCCCTCTTCACGCCGAGGCGCTGCTGCGGCTCCTTGGCCAGGAGCCCCCTGATGAGGTCCCTGCCGGCGTAGCTCGTCGACGGCGACTCGGGGAACTTCAGCTGCTGACCGACCACGTTGAACAGCGTGGCGCGGTTGCCTGACCCCTTGAATGGTGTCTTGCCGTATAGAAGCTCGTGCAAGAAGATACCAAAGGTCCACCAGTCGACCGCACTTCCATGGCCTTCGCCTTTGATGATTTCTGGGGCCAAGTACTCGTGAGTCCCAACGAATGACATGGATCGAGCTGATGTTGGTTCTGCGAGGAGCTCGGGCAGGTTGATGGCACTCTGTCCAAGGTCAGACCTTGTCTTTTTGGTCTTTTTCTTGCTCTTCTGACCAAACAATTTGGGCATGAAACAAGCTGGCTGAATACAGGCTGAAGTAGGCTCCATGCAAGTAGGTTGCACACAGAATGAACCACCCGCCCTTCTGGGATCAGAATCAAAGGCCGATGTCCTGATTAGTGTAGGTGACACTGCACATCTCAGGGAGAGGTCGAAATCTGAAAGCATTATGTGGCCATCATCACGCACCAGAACATTTTCTGGCTTCAGGTCCCTGTAAACGACTCCCAGCATGTGCAGATACTCAATAGCTAGAAGAACTTCTGCAGCATAAAACCTGCTCAAAATCAGAGAGCACAATGTCAGTGCTTTTAGTTGCAACTAGCCAACTAGGTATATAAGCTACTGAATACCAAAATTCTGGTATTGAAGGATAAGATGCTAAAGCAAAAGCTAATTGGAGCATGGTTTATAATATCCCAAAATCATTTCAACCATGCTGCCTACATTTCAATCTATAAATTTATGCACCATTTACAAGCACACCTGCAGACTACATTTGAACAAATAACCTTTCTCTGCACACCATCTCATAACAGTCACAAGACCTTATTCAGAAATCCTGCCCGAGTAACTGGGCAACACTATATTAGCTGCTTCCTGAAGCCCCAAAAGATAAGCTTCCTATCAAACTATAGCTATACAGAATTTCTTTCCCTTGCGGAAACCATTTCCAACCCGGAATCCTTGCACAGTTCGGAAATTATGCTTCAGGCTCAACTGTCTAATATTAAAAAGCAGAAACAGTAATAACTCTAAGCTACATTAAATTGATAGCAAATGGAGTGCTAAACTTGACAAACAAAAATACTGAATGTGAATACAATACGAAAATACAAGTTATATTTTTGTAAGGAATTGGCTCATGATTTAATATACCTTGCTGCATACTCGGAGAAATATTTTCCTGGCTGTTTCTGTCGCAGAGTGTGCAAGTCACCACCCGGACAAAATTCCATGACCAGACACGAGAACCTATCAGTCTCAAAATGTGTATACAGAGTTGGTAGGAATGGATGATCCAGAAGCTGCAGGATCTCCCTCTCAGTTTGAGCCCTATTCAACTTCTTCCTGCTGGCCAAGGATGCCTTGTCCATTACTTTCATTGCAAAGTAGCACCTAGTCCCACTCAACTCTGAGAGGTATACGCTGCCAATGTCACCACAGCCTAGACGCTTGAGCAGTCTAAAGTGGCTCATCCCAAGCACGCCATCTCGAATCCGCACAGCATGAATCGCCTTTCCTCTGGGATCATTCCCCTTATGAGGCTTACTGGTACCTCCAGTGATATGGCTCCAGCTGCTATCGTCGCTAACACCACTGCTGTCACTTGCTCGGCTCATGCTTGTTTTTGCACTTTCTAAAGAGTCACCTCGAACACTACTCTTTACACTTCCAAAGTTCCTCTCTACAGTAAGCATGGTTCCAGTAGCTATGGCTTCACTTTTGTATGTGTTATTACTGCGGTTGCTCGCGATGCTCATGGCAGTGACCACCCCCATGCTGTCAATGCTGCTGTGAGGGCTGACATTGCCGCTGGGAGGGAGCGATGCATCCCAGACACAGTCTTTCTCCTCCGAATCTGGAGGCAAGGACACAGTTTCCGTAGCCTGTGACGAGCGCGCCGTGGCCAACGACGCCACTGCAGCACCAGACACCTTCCTCTCCTCGGGCAAGCCTTCACCACTGCCTGCACAGACTACTGCATTTGCCTTCAGGCCTGTGACACGGAGCGAGAGGTCATCCATGAATGGCCCTTTCGCTGATAGTCCTCGCACCATACACACCGGCGGCTCAGGCTTCTCCTCATCAATTGCGACATACACCGTCTTCATAAGATCCATATCAATTGGCTCGAGGGGGTGACTGGCCCCAGAGAAAGAACTCCGGCCACCCTCATCCGAGGAATCCACGCTCTGGAAGCTCTCCTCGCCATCATCTGGCAGATCCTTCTCATCCTGCTGCTGGGAGGTCTTCCCTTTCCATGACGCCTTTATCGGAATCGGCAGTGGCGGCTCCAGGCTCTGCACCTTCCGAGCAGTGACCACCAAAGGGTCTTCAGGCTCCGCAATCTTATCCACTATCTCCATTCAGACCTTAGCATAACAAGTGCACAAACACCAAGCAAGAGCCGACCAAGACAAGGCAAATCCCAAGCGATTCTCTCCTCAACAAGACACAAGGACGACAGGAGTCCTGCGCCGAGATGGCAAATTTCAGCACAGACAGCACTTCACCTGCAACAGTCACACACAGATTGGTTAAGGAGACGAGGAGAACAAAGTTTCTCTCCAGCCCAACACGGGTTCGAAGAATCAAACCTGCTCCTGGGCAAATTATCGGAAACCCAGCCAAAGCAGACCCCGGGGAGTAGGAACAGGTCCAATCCTCCACCCTGCAGAACAGAATCACAAACCAATCCACCGGATTAGACGCATGCTTCCGCGAGAATGAGAAAACAACAACCCACCAAATCACACCAGGTTATCCTCAAACCCCAAGACACCCACCAAAACCGCAGCAGAATCCCCGCAGCCTATCGACTCAGAATGCACCCAACCCGGCCGCACCGCATTCAGATCTTCGCCGCTGCCGAACACGGCGACGAGCGACGAAGCGCGGCGGCCGCCGGTTCCCCAGCCGAACCAAACAAGGAAACAAATCGAAGGAAAATAATCAATCACCTCGAACGGGGGGAAAGCGGAGATCCCCAGAGTCCAGAGATGACGGACGCCTCGGCCTCGGGGACGACGCGCTCCGCTCTTGGCTACGGCTCCTCCCCGCCACCACCGCGCACCAGTGCCGCCGCCGCCGCCGCTGCTGCTAGCGCCAGTCCCAGCCAGAGTAACTCCGCACCCAGACGCGCCTCTCTCTCTCTCTCTCTCTCTCTCTCTCTCTGTGCGCTTGTGAGGAGGACTGATGAGGGGAGGCGGAGCGCGACGGAGGGGGGGAAAGCGAAAGGCGTGGGAGTGGTGGGGGCTGGATTTGTTCCCGTTCTGTTTTGAGAAGAAAAAAATAATAAAGCGGAAAGCGGCGAAAAGGTTGCGCGTGGGCTGCTGCTAAGCACCGTTTTCCCGCGGCTAATCACTCTCGCGCTTTATCAGCTTTCCCTAAGGGCATGTACAATGGTGCTATCTTAAGAGTACCACGTAGGATAAATGATGAGATGGAGGAGAGAGAACTCGTAAGAAAAGGCTTGTCTTCTCTTATTTAAGATAAGACAAGAGATGACCTCTTAGCACAATTTGTCTCACCATGTTTTAAGAAATTGCTAGTTATTGAAGATAAGACTAAGATATAACCCATTATAGACATACATTTTTGTCATCTCTAAATTATATTTAAGACTTAAGATAAGACTGTCTTATTAACCATTGTACATGCCCTAACCACACCACACAGCTTTGCTCGCTCGCTCTGGCCCGTCCCTTTCTTCCTCGTTACCCATCCAACCCCACACCGATGTCCTGCTGCCAAAATGAAAAAAAAAACTACACTAATGTTTTCTCATCTGTGACAAGAGGCAACCTCTCAAGTCTTAACTGTGTCACAATTAACAAAATAATAGTACCCCCCGCAAAAAAAAAATATTACAATCAGAATGGGTCTGATGGTACTACTTTTTTTGGTAAAAATAGGCAAAGGGAATTTATTGTTGTTGTACTGGAGTACTAGTATCTTCTTCTTGATAGCGGAATTAATGGCTTCTTCTTCAGCAGAGCCGAATTAATTGCTGCGTTGATACGGGTCGGAGCTTTGGGGCGTGCCTGGGCCGACGTGTGGGGCCATGGTGTAGCTTCTTTGCGCTACACCGGGACCACCTGTCACCATCACTTGGGGAGTGCGGCCGGAATGAGGACGGACGCATACGTGACTCGTTCAATGATGCCGTTTTGGAGGACCTGTTCACCCGCTCATCACGCTCGTCGGTGTCGAGTAATTTGAGCAACGGCACCGGCTACTGTAGAAGGTTTTTTACCGTCTCTGCTGATGGGACGAAAAGTTTACGTGTACAGTTAAGAGATATTGTCAACCTTAGGCCAACTCCACTCGCGAGTATTCGTCTGGGTCAAAACAAACAAAAACGGCGAACCAATCTGTGGTTGAATGGTTAGAGAGATTGTGGTATCCTCAACCCATCAGGGTTTAAATTCTGATGCTCGCATTTATTCCTGCATTTATCTTAAGATTTCCGGCAATGCACATTCAGTGGGAGGAGACGTTTCCATCGACGACGAGGTGGCTACGGTGACTTCGTAAATTTTAAGATGATATGACGGTTCAGTCTTTCAGAGGTGCTCATAGGGGTAGGGTGCGTGTGTGCGTTCATAGGGATGAGCGTATGCGCGTGTATATGAGCGCTTGCATCTGTACTGTGTTCAAAACAAACTGAAAATGTGACCCAACGCGCCGACGCAAACAAATGGGCGTCAGCACGGACACATGTGACGCTCTCTCTTGTTCTCCCCCAGCCCGCACGTCGGTGGCACATCAGCCATTCCCCCTCCCTCCACACCCGACCTCATCCGATCGTGCTGCCCTCACCATCGCTGCCCACTTTTTCCGAGGACACCGCCCGCATCCACCCACTCCCCCACCTCCACGCCACATCGGAGGCCCACTCTTGTCGACATTGGTGGCCCTTTCTCGCCACCGCCGTCGTAGCACGAGAAGGCATGGTCTAGCAGCGCTTCCACAACTGTCGGCCTCGCGCTCCACTTTGATAGGCCTGCTACCTATATGGGGAGGGCATAAGGCTCTTCAGCGGCCGCTACCCCACCACACTCAGAAAGATGTTTGACGTTTTGCCCGCAAGGTACCATGGATAGTGAGAATGAGTTCCTTTTCAATAACTTCATGTGTTCACCTGACAATTCATCGTCCGACGATGAGGATTTTGTGGTTGTGACTATAGTCGTCAACGAACACATTGCTAGGCAGTGGACGAGCTTTAGGGGATTAATCTCGGGCCATGCTCCGGCGTTGAATTACAACAAAGCGGCGGCCATTGCCTACTCTTCGTCGGTTTACAATAAAGCAAACCGAAGTGTTGTGAAGCTCCCCCATAAAACTGGCTCTAGAAGTTACATTGCAACTTATCACAGTTTGATAAGCACCCCAGCTTCATACATGCAAATTATCGCATTTTTATAAGTAAATGGCCTGCGGCAATAACGTTCATCATATTCTGTTTGATGTACTAGTGTAATGAGCAAAACGAAAAACCTACACCTATTGAATTTTTTAACCAACCCACATCAGAAAGAAGGATGGGGTGATGAGTGAGACTACGGCAAAAGCAATCATAAGCGTTCTGGAATTTGTTGATTTCACATGTAATGTTCCACCCAAAATATTATGTTTGTAAGACCGTACCAACAACGCTTCAACCTTATTGCAGAAGGAAATGAAGGACAAGCAACACGCAACTCCAGCAGTAGGTGAAGAGCCAAAAACAGATGTGCGGATTGTGCAGAGGTTCTCAAGGGCGTTTCCAAGCATAGCACGTTCCTCGCAAGCATGGGAGAGTCATCTTCCTCCAGGCAGAAGTCAACCTCTCATGAACACATTAGAGAGCTTGAAGAGAGGCTTGTAACTCATGAGGTAGCTGCAAGATCAGCATTTGATAGGGTATCAAGAAGAGCTGAATGCAAGAATGGTAACGCAACAACAGGAAATCGAAGAGATGAAAGCAAAGCAGCTAGATGAAATTGCACCTCTCAAGAAGGCACGTGAGGAGAAAACTTCTTCTATAGAACAGAAGCAATCACAACTAGAAGGAACTTTAGGTTTTCTCTTAAGGATGCAGGATGACTCTGACAAAAGCATGCCGCGGCCTATTTTGGGGGGCTTTGACAACACCTTGTCGCTACCCTGATGATGGTATTTTTCGTCCGAAAACTTATGGTCGTCCCTTTTTATATTTTGTAATGTGTGGTAAATTGTCGGTTTCCTTTTATGTCATGTATGATACTTCCTCAGTTGGCTGATCATTATCAGAATTGTGTCAAGCATGTCTGTTTTTAGTTTTAACGGAAGTCATTTCATTCTCATATTTGATATTTTACAAATTTTTAAATTTAAATTTAAATTTGGTTGGCAGTTGCAACAATGAATAAACTGTGACGGAAATGTGCGTCGTCACCAGCTTCTAGACCCACATGTAAGCAGCCACGTCAACATCCCATGGACCCAGATGTCAGGATCTTTGACCGGTCAAACCTGATTATCACTAACGGGCACCGTTAGTGATAAAACCTTAGCCGAGCCTGGCTGTTAGGTGGCACGTCAGCATATTATGGGCCCATACATCAGATTCATTGACTGGTCATGCATGTTGGGTTGGTTGTTAGTATATACGGTAGTGACATTTTCTGGCCGTCGCAGAAGATAGTTTTGTCGACATTTTTTGGTCTGTCGGCTAAGATACGATCTTGTGTAACGGAGGAAGTGGTACCGTCGAGATTTTATTTTCTATGATGACGCTTTGGTGGTGGTGGGGGTGACGGACGAAAAACGTCTCCAGTGTATTTTCCGCGATGAAAAAGGGTTATACATGACACAAGTGAAACGACGCAAAATACAGCAAATTTTGTAGTGGTAGTGGTGGTGAGTCTGTTCCAGTCACTTGGGAGGTGGGGAGTGTGGCACCGCCTGTCACTCTATACTAGCGACTTAGTCTTTCTGATCAAGCCGCTAGCACATGAGGCCAAGGTAGTACTACACCTCATTCGCATCTTCAGCGGAGGCTCTTCTGCAACCTAACAAAAAGTTCAATTTCTCCCACTTGAGGTGTGTGTGTGGGTCTAGAGACAATAGTGAGGGTGCTTCAATCCCGTGCATCCTTTCCTGATAAGAAAAATGGGGCTTCCCATCTTGACGACGACCCTAACCAAGACCGACCTATTTGTCAGCCAACGAACCCCCGGGAAAAAGGGTGTTGAGAACTTGCTCAATGGACTCTCGCTCCTCCCGAGTGAGTTGTGGACCATCATACTACCTATTACCCACCACAACATTCCAGTTACGGCAGATGGATCGACTGGAGCACCCTCACGAAGGCTAGACCATGGAGTTGATGTGCCAGCCG